TAATGGCTGATAGTTATAGTTGTCTTTTGTTTTCCTCAGTAATGTCATCATTGAAATTTCTCTTGCAAGAATTTTGCTTGTAGGTGCCAACAAGTGATTGATCTTTTGGAAATAAATTTTCGTATACTCATTTTGCAATGGCAAACATCGAGGATGGCATGAAATATTTCAGGCAATTGATGTTTTGATTTTCCCTCCCTATTTATTCTTAAGTTGTGAAGATCTTTAGAAAGCGGTTTATTTATTTATTTATTTTCTGTTGGAGTTTATTAGTCATATTGCCCTCTCTCTCTCTCTCTCTCTCTCTCTCTCTCTCTCTCTCTCTCTCTCTCTTTCCTTGAAGCACGGTGCAGTAACCATGGTAACTTGCTGAGTCTTTTTTTTCATTTTGTATGTATATTTGAGAGGTTTGATGGAGAAGTATTGAGAGAGTATTGAGAATCTGCATATTATATTTATTGATTTAGAGAATGCATATTTATTGATTTAGAGAAGGCATATGATAAAGTTACAAAAGAAATGCCCTGGAGAGTTTTATATTTGACAACAAGGATTTATGTTTTTACTGGTAACAAGGAACTGTCGTTGGATCCTAATGTTTTCGTTGCAATTTCTATGAAGGTATTTTATAAATTCAATTCGTATTAGAGGGAAGTAGTTTGTGATAGTTCTCAAGTTCTAGATTTAGTGCAGTGTTAGAAGATCCTTAATGCATTTTTTGATAATAACACGCACACCCTTTCTCTCTCTGTGTGTGTTTGTTTACATCTTTCTATATATGTAATGGGAAAAAGTAGTCAGTTTCTTGCTTGCAAACTATATTATGCAGAATTTTCTTATTAATTACTTTATAAGTTCAATTGTCTGTCTCGATTCAAATTTTGAGGTATGCTGATGCATTTCACAATCTCTTGCCATGAAAAGGAAAAATGAAATTGCATTAACACTTGCCTCATTTTCATCATGATATAAAATTAAGAAGGCCTAGTTATCTGACTGTTTCAAAGATTTGTACCAAATATAACTTGTGTGTTGTGATTATTTCTTCTTTGAGTAAAAAGCTGGGGGGAAGATTATAATGATGATAATCATTTAGATTTTAGCTGGGTTTTGTAGTGCTTCTGTGGAGTTTCTCTATGTTTCCTATGGCATAACATGTATCGTTGATTGAATATGAGCTATTCATAAACAACAAATTTTTATGACAGTTTTATATAACAGATGATTTGAAGTTCGATTCCCATGAAGGCAAGTAACTCTTTTACTATGGGAATGTCTTAGTGTTAGTGCTGATGATGCCCAAATATGCTTTCCTCTACACCCTTTGATTGTCTTGACAAGTTATTCAGGTTGGCCTTTTGTGGCAACTATGTGGCCATCAGCTATTTTTACTCTTCTTTTGGATGCTTAGTCTACCACTTCTTTTACCTTTTATCTATCTTTATTTATGGGAAGATTCAATGGTTTTAAAATTCTTTCTCTACGCTGTACTCTCTCTTTATATGTATATGATTCAATGGTTTTAAATTTTTAGGACAGTTTTATCTACCTTTTATCTACCTCCAAATAGAGTTAAAGGGATTTGCCTATGTTATTTATTTATTTAGAGTAAGTAAACATATGATAAACTTTCAAGAAAAGTGATGTGGAGAGTTCTAGAAAAGAAAATAGTTAGTAATGCTTATATTTAAGTCATTCAGGACATGTATACAAGAGTTCTAATTTGTGCTTAAACATAAGGTGGTTTGATCAAGTATTTTTCTATTTTAGTTGGATTATATAAAGGATCAATGTTAAGCCCATATCTTTTTTTCTTTAGTCATGGTTGTTATTTCTAGACTTTTGCAAGGGGATGTACCTTCGTGTATGTAACACATATGCATATTAGAATATGTACATGAGCGAGCTCCTAATGATGAGCATATTTTTACAATTAATGCCTGGTAGCTATTTTCAAAGTCAAAACTTGCTAGTTACTTGTATTTTTCTCAATAATGTAATCATCCTGATATCTGTTGGTAGAACTGAGCTGGTGATTGTCAACTAGTGACTGATCTTCTGGAACCCAGGTTTCCTTATACTCATTTTGCAATGGCGAACATCCAGGATGGCTTGAAAATTCTCAAGCAACCGATGTTATGATTATCCCTATTTATGCTTCAGTTTGGAGGGCTTTTAGAAAGATGATTGTTTATTTATTAGTGTTTGAATTCAATAGCCATATTGTACTCTCTCTCTCTTCTGAACCAGGTTTCGGTTATATGTATATATCGACAGGTGTTTGATATATAAATGCTTAGTGCATCTTACTGGCAATCTAAGTGCACCACCTTTCGTTTTGCATTACCTTACAAATTTAAGAGCCTCCGTTTCCATTCTATTTCTTTTGCTTATTGGAAAATTTTCTCACAATCTGTCCATATGAATTGGAAATTTAAATTGCACGGATGGAGGATTATATTTTTCATTTACAGATGGAAAACGTGGCAATTGCCTCATCTACCTTGAATTTCCCTCCTAAATCCCTCAAAAATCCTTTTATTCATTACATTAGTAATTCAAGAGCCTCTATCTCGATTTTATTTCTTATGCATGTTGGAAAACTGAAATTGCCTTGATAGGGGATAATATTTTTTATTTACAGATCCAGGGCCTATCATTAGCCTCTTCCCCACCTTAAAATACAATTAAAAAGGCTCAATCATTCGGTAATTTTCAAGATTAGTGACAATACACAACATGTGTGCTGTGATTATCTGTTTTATGTGTGTAATGCTTTGAGTGCAATGATGATGATTTAGAATTTAGCAATCAATTGCACGTGGCGGCTCTGAGATGTTACTATTTATCTTATTATATGGCTTGTTTGGATAGCCTGGAGCTTCTCAGGCAACCACATCTCCCATTAGCATGGCAATTTACGTATAACATAGTTTCCTAACCGGGTCATCGGACGGCCACTGCTTTGTGACCAAACCATGGTGACTCTCTCTAATCTTATCTTCCACTGGAGCTACTCGAACCTTTTCACGGATATACTCATTTTGTATCATATCTCTAAGAGTAAGCCACTCATCCACCTGAGGATCTTCATCTCTGCACTACTTAAATTAATTTTATACTTCTATTTTAATGGTCAACATTCTGCACCATCAAGCATTGTAGGTCTTACCACCATCTTATAGAATTTTCCCGTAAGTTTGATGTAGACTTTTGAATCACAAAACAAGCATGATTCATTCCTCCACTTTAACCATCTATTTCACGATCACTATGAATAATAGATCCAAGATATCTAAAACGTGTACTCTTATTAATGACTTGATTGCCCGAAGTCAAAGTCCCCTCACTAGATCTATTACTACTAAAATTATCCTCCATATATTTGGTTTTATATTTACTCAAATTAAAACCTTTAAACTCTAAGGTTGACCTTCATTATTTAAGTTTACCTTCAACTCCTCTAGTCTTATCAACAAGAAGAATATCATCAGCAAAAAGCATACACATGGGTACAACCTCTTGCAAATGTCTAGTGAGAACATCCATGATTAAAGCAAAAAGATATGGGCTTAAGGTAAAAAAAAAAAAAAAACTATTTGCTGGCATGTACTTCTGCAAGTTTAGCTTTCAATTTTTGCTTATATCTCTCTCGGTCATGTCATGCCACAAAGCTAGGTTTTTTATTTTATAAATCTTGGCGCTATTTTGTTTCTTTTATGAGGTAGTAAGCAATATTATAAAAGTTCTTTTCAGCTACGGAATACTCTATTTTGTTATTTTGTGAAGCATATTTTTCTGCAAAACAAAATATGAATACAAATTTTGTCCAAGATCAGTTCAATTGTCTGTCTCGGTTCTAATTTTGAGGTATGTTGATGCATCTCACAATCTCTTGCCATGAACAGGAAAATTGAAATTGCATTGATGGGATTTAATATTTTTGCTTTTTTATATGAAAATCCTATCAGTCGCCTCATTTTCACCATGATATAGAATTAAGAAGGCATAAATATATGACAGTTTCAAGGATTTATGCCCAAATATAACTTGTAATGTGTTGTGTTTATTTCTTCTTTGAGTAAAAGCCTTAGGACGATGATGACGATGATGGTTTAGAATTTAGCCTGAATATTGCTATGTTTCCTATGATATGGCTTTCTGGATGGCCTGGAGTTCTCAGGCAACGACAGCTTACATTACGATGGGAATTCGAGCATAGCGAAGCTTCTTTAGTAGTTCTGGCATGGATTCATTGTCATCTTCTGAGCCTTTTTCTTTCTACATCATCTTCTTCTTCTTCCTTTTTGGGTCATGATCCTTTCGTTTTAGAGGAATTATCGGAAAATGAATATTGTTTACCTGACGCTTACTGTCCTTACTACCGTAAAAATTCAGGGGACCTTTCTCTAAACTAATTTTAGTGCATGTTGGTGGAGTCAGTGTCTCTTCCTATGAAAAGGGAAATAAATTCATTGAAGAGAGAGAGATACATATGATTTTTAGATAGATATATACTATCAGTGGCTTCATCTTCTCCATTAGATACAATTACGAAGGCCATAACATTTGTCAGTTATGAAGATTATTGCAATACTCATAATGGGTAATAGTGTTGTGATTATTTCTTTTATAAGTTAAAAAAATTGTGGGGAAGATTATGAAAGCTTAGATATTAACAATGAAACGGTACAGAGGTGCTTCTTTTGCTACATTTTAGTTTTAATTATAAATTATATTATTAATTAACTTATTAATCAGCTTAGATTTTATAAGAATTAATTATTTAATTATTATTTATACTATTAATTAATTAATTATTTATATTTTCAATTATATTAATTAATATAATTATATTTATTTTTATTACTAATTATATACCTAATTTTTTTAATTAAGTTAAATTAGATAATTTATTTAATTAATTAATTTACTTAGTTATTAATATTTTAAATTATATTAGAGGCGTCTAGGGTTTGCTTTTCATCTTATTTTCTTTGTTGCTGTTCGGCTTCCTTCGAAGGTGTAGCGATTGCATGAGTTGCTTCTTCGGCTCCTTTGTTGCTGTTCGAATTTGCTCCATCTACGACGTTCCCTTCCTGCGGATTTGATGTTACAACATTTTGATGGGAAGCAACGACAGCAGCTTGCTCGCTGTGAATTTAACTTTCTCACTTTCGCGTGCTTCTTTGGCCAAATTTTGTAAATCCGCCGAACTGTAGAATTGAGTACATCCGGGATTTATGGCAAAAAGAGGGAAATAGAGGATTGAGAATGATGAGGCAGTAAAGACAGCGTGAAAGCTTTTTCAATGTTTGAGTGTAGGTGGCGTCTTTGGACATCCCTTTATTGTTGCTCCATGCATGTTCATTGATAATTCATGAGGATTTTAGTGCTATGACCATGTATATTGAATGGGAGATAATGTGGCAATTAAACCCATGTAGATAAAATTAGTGTTAATTTTGAAGGAGTGGGTTTAGACCTATAAGGTTAAATGCAATTGCGAACATTGAGGATGGTCTGAAATATCTCAGGCAACTGAAGTTATGATTTTCCCTATCTACTCTTTAGGTGAGAGGACCTTCAGAAAGCGGTTTTTTTTTTTTTTGTTGGAATTTATTAGTCGTATTGCCCTCTATCTCTTTATTTCCATGAAGCACGTTGCAGTAACCATGGTAACTTGTTGAGCCTTTTTTTCATTTTGTATATATATTTGAGAGGTTTGGTGGAGAAGTATGGAGAGGTTTAGAATTTTGCCTGAATATTGCTATGTTTCCTATGGTATGGCTTTCTGGATGGCCTGGAGTTCTCAGGACTTTGATTTAAAAAGGTATTTTGTCCCCAGCATAAATAAAAATATAAAGAAAAAATAAAGTAGAAAATAATTAAAAAAATATAGTAGAAAATAAATTACATTCAAAATTTTCATAATAATAATAAGGCAAATATCATAGTGAATAATAATGTTATAGATGGTCATAATTAAATCATATATGCAAAGCATTTCTTCAGTATTGACTGGTTGATCAATAATACATATAAAGCAATACATATCGAAGTTAAGATGAGCAAAGAACATTATCGTTTGAAAACTATATAAATGACATAATAAATTGTATAATAAAAACAATTTGATTATTATAAATTCATAATAATTAAAAAAATAAAAATAAAATAGTATATCGAGTGACACAACTTGCCTTCATTATGGCATGTAAATTACCAGAATAAATTGATATTATGACATTCTTAGAAATAAAAAAAAAAATTTAAGGTTCCACAAATTTTAATCAAAGAAATTTTATTTTTTAAAATTTCTTCCGCATTATTTTATTTTTAAATCACAATTTATCTTAACTCCTCATAATTAAAGAAGCGATTACAATCTCACTAAACTCCTCATAACTAGTGTAAATGTAACATCTATTTTTGTCCTTGCACGAAAAAATATTCCTTCTTGTTTTTTCTTCACTTTTATAAAGTTGGTCTTCTCCTCTATTTCTCTTGTACATATACACTTAAATTCATGTTGGTTGAACATATGAAAATTGTAGCGTTTGATATGAGACTTGTCATACCTCGACTATGAATTGCTTCTTCCATGACCACTAGATATTGGGGGATTTCCACTTCTTCCTTCTATTTCTTGTCCATGACAACATCCTTTCCTCTTTAGCATTTATCATTATCAAAGATTTCTTCTTTCAAGTTGTGTTATAGCAGTTGCACTATTATCTCCTTTTGCTTTTTTCTTTCTTTTGTTTTTCCTCATAGGCTTGCAAGGAACCCAATAATCAATCCACACTCATTGGTTCCAAGTATTTTGTTTATTCAATGATGGAATCTGCAAAATCAAGATTTGGATTTAAAGGGTGAAAAGTTTTCTTCATGACTTTTAGTTACGAACTTTGTCTCTATGATGAGGACATCCGACCTTGGAGAGTCTACTAGAGACGGGGTTGACGATCTACGGCCACGATCGCACCGATTTATTTTTGAGTTATTATATGTATTTGATTTATTTATGCTTTTTTTTGTTTCTACCCTCACTTGAGGGAATAGTTGCTTGTGAACCCTAGCGGCATTTGCGTCTTTTATTTCGTCATTGTAATCATTAGCTATTTATATCCCCTCCCCGCCTTTGGATCGGGTAATGAAGATTATTATCAAAAATTTCAGCAAATTGTTTTCTTATGAGCTTTGAGAATTGAGAGAGTTCTCTTGAGACGAAACCTTAGGAGAGAAGCGTCTGGATTCGTCGTTATTTTCTTTCATCCAAACCTTCCCCTCCCTCCTCCTTAAGCCGTTGGCCTTCCCTCCCCCTTTTCTCTATCTCTCGGCCAAACCCAACCACCACCACAACCCCAGCCGGCCACCCTATCTTCCACCTCCAAGCCGCTAGCCATAAGGCCCCTCCCCTCCTCTCCAAGTCGCTGGCTCCAAGGTTCCTCCCCTCCACCCAACCGCCGGCCCAACCCTAACCCTAATTCCTAACCGCCACCCAAACCCCAACCCGCCGGCCCAACCCTAACCCTAGTTCCTAACCGCCACCCAAACCCCAACCCTAATTCTAGTCGTCGGCCACCCTAACCATGATCCTAATTCGCCGGCCCCCCAATTCCTCTTTGCCTCCAAAATTCAAGTGGGTATTCAAAGTCTTCCTTATTCGGCCATCTTAAATTAGGAAAATTTCAAAATTCAAATTGAAATAAATTTGAATTTGAAATCCTTTCTTAAAATAAGATAAGTTATGTTAGTAAACTTTTTTTTATCCTCACAATCAAATCTAATAAGAGATTTATCATGATTTCCCCCTTTTCTTATTTATTAATTCAAGTTTGGAAGCTCCCTATATTCCCCCCACATCTTCTCCCCAACTCCATACCGCCAGCCTACCCTCTCCCCCCCATAACTATTCCCTTTAATGCTCCCAATTCAAATTCAAATATGAAATTAAATCCCTTTCCCCTCCCCCACCAAATCTTATCTTTATTTCCCTACTCTTTTCCCTCCCAAATTAAATTCACGCCACTTGAGGTTGCTCTCCTGTAATTTCAGCAACCTAATCCAGCCGCCACACCTCCCTTAGCCTTCAAACTTGCTGTCCAGTTGGAGATCAAGGCTGTCCAGAAATTCCTGCAACTTCTCCTTGCTGTCCAGCCCTCCGAAAAGAAGACGTTTGCTATCTAAAAGCGCCAGAACATTAAAATATGTTGTTCCCACATGTATTGCAGATCCAGAACTTGATCACGGATTTTATAACGATCAAGGGCAAGTGGACATCCTCGAATCCCCGTTCTTTGACGTTAACTTGGAGGTCGACGTACCGTTGAAGAATACGTCGAAAGGATTATATTCTCTCTCGCCGCCGCCATCGACGAACAACTCTCTCCCATCCAGTGGCAGGTCGTTTCCAAATTCTGATAAAGGTAAATTTCTCCTCCAAGTCTTTTACTTTTCTAAGTCTTACCGTTTCTTTGTGGCATCATAAAGATTGTGTATCCTATCTCAATTTAGCTTACATCAAGAGTGTGAGTGAGGGGATCCAAGTAGTGCCTAATCTTATTGTTAATTTAGGATTTTCTTTGAAATTCTCCCATGCTATGCTAATCTTGATTGGAATTGATTACTCATGATTCTAACTCTTACATGTACTTTGGCCTAAGCTTTAATCACCGCTTTACTGTTTTAATATTTGTTTAAATCGCTAAAGTAATGTGATTAATTTTGCTCTAATCTAAAGGCGTGTAATTTTGACATTACAAAAGTACCCACGCATTTAGTTCTACATCACTCCATTTCTTGTCAATTGATTGACAATATCCAATACTTTAGAAAAAAAAAATTTGAATTTGATTCAAATTCCTCTATAAATAAAAATTCATACTCACTTCAAAGAACTTGATGATTTTTTTTCACTTGCTCTGTTCTCTTGTTGCAAGTTTAAAGGTTTTCTCCAACTCTTTGGTCATAGCTGCATTTGAGGTTTCTCAAACCCATCCTTAGTCAACTCATAAACGATGAGGCAGAGAGCTTTCCTGTCCCTATTTCTTAAATCCTGTAAGGTTTTCCTATGGGCTTGGGATATGGTAAGATCATCTTGCTCTCCATAGCCTTTCTTGATGACATTCCATACATCTTATGCACTTAATAGAGCCTTCATCTTAATGCTCCAATTGTTTTAATTGCTGATGTTAACCCTCAAAACTTGGAAGGGGATCATTTGTACATTTGCCATTGCTCCAAAACCACTTTGTTGAAAATTTATAATCAAAACCTGGAACTTCTATGAACTTAAAGTCACAATACCTTATAAAATACAACTCCCAAATTCACATAACAAACTCTCTTAGAAGCTTTACTCTTTTTTTTCCTTTCTTTTTCTCTCTTAGAAGCTTTGCTTTTAAACTATTTGGGGGAGAGACATTTATAGATATTTAAAACTTATTCACATCACAAATTATCAGCAACAAAAACAATCAATCATTTATTCTTCACCTATCAAACCTACCACACATAAATTTCTTGTATGTATTACCTAATATTTAAATATTCAATAAGTTTACTTTTAAATATATATGAAATGTATGGGTTTTAATATGTAGGTATATATTTTTCATCAAGTAAGAAGCAAAGATTCTAAAGATAGTTTGTAGTGTGAATTTAAGAGTTATATTTATATAGTTATGAATACGTAAAAATTTAATTTTGTTCGACAAATTTTCAACAAACTTATATAAGATAATAGTGCTCCCTTCCAAGTTTTAATGCTCACCAAGAGCAACTATGATAATTAGAGCATCATGGTGAAAGCTCTATTTGAAGCACAATATGTGTGGTATTTTGCCCTATCTCAAAATCATAAGGGAAGGCCTGAAGGATTCAAGAAATAGGGAAAAGAAAGTTCTCTACCCCATCTTTCAAGTGGTGAATTAAAAGGAAATGAAAAAATGACAGGAGCAAGTATAGCCAAAGAAGCATGGGAGACGTTTCAAACATACAAGAGAGCAATAAAAGTTAAAAAATTTATATTCAAACACTAAAAGAATAGTTTGAACTTCTATTTATGGAGTCGAAATAAAATTTAGATTAATTTTTCTAGATTATTCATCATTGTCAAGCAATTAAAAAAAAAGTGAAGAAGTTGTTAAAGTAAAAGTTGTTCTCTTCCAAGTCTCAATTCTCATTAAGAGCAACTACGATATTTAGATCATTAACAAAAAAGCTCTATGTAGAGCACAATATACGTGGGATGCCATAAAAAATGGCTATGAATTTTTTTTTTTTTTTGCTCTGACTAGTCATTTCATGGCAACCTAATATGGATAAAACATTCATCAAATGAATGTGAAGTTTGCTTTTTTTTAATGAGGTTCTCAAAGAAGTCTATTTTGAACAACTTTTAGGTTATAAAGTGAATGTGCAAAAAGATAAAGTGTTGAGTTGAAAGATTTATATGATCTAAAATAAGCAACAACATCTTGAAATAGTTGAATTGACAAGACTTTTTGAGAAAACAATGTCACAAGTGAGAATATGAGCATGCATTGATATTAAAGTTCAAAATGAAGATATTTTATATGGAGATGACTTTATTTTGAAGGATAACCTAAACATGCTTGAGAAGTTCATGAAAGAAATGACAAAAGAATTTGAGAAGCAGATATCAGACTCATGTTTTACTACCTTGATATGGAAGTAAAGTAAAAAGATAGCAACATCTTAATCATTTTAAAAGGCTATGCAAAAGAGGTTCAAGATTGATGAATTTAATCATGTTTGAATGCCAATAGAATGCATAGTCAACAATAACAACAACACCAACATCAAGCTTTTATCCCACTACGTGGGGTCGGCTACATGAATCCTTTTTCTCCATTGTGTCCTATTAAAAGTTAAATTCTCATTTAAATCTAATAAAGAAAGGTCATTCTAATATTTTCTAACAAAGTCTTTTTAGGTCTACCCCTACCTTTCTTAACATAAGTCAAATCTAATATCTCTACTCTCCTAACCGGGTCATCGGAAGGTCGCCGTTTTAGGTGACCAAACCATCTAAGGCGACTCTCTCTAATATTATCTTCTACTGGAGCTACTCCAACCTTTTCACATATATGCTCATTTCGTATCCGATCTCTAAGGATAAAGCCACTCATCCACCTGAGCATCCTCATCTCTGCCACACTTAACTTAGTATTATGCTTCTCTTTTAGTGGCCAACATTCAGCACCATAAAGCATTGCAGGCCTCACTACCATCTGATAGAATTTTCTCTTAAGTTTGAGGGGTACATTTCTATCACATAACAAGCCCGATGCATTCCTCCACTTCAACCATCGAACTTGAATTCTGCTGATAATATCCCCATCTATTTCACCATCACTCTGAACATTAGATCCAAGATATCTAAAACATGTACTCTTATTAATGACTTGATCGCCCAAAGTCACAATCCTCTCACTAGGTCTATTACTACTAAAATTACACTCCATATATTCCGTTTTAGATCTACTCAAGCTAAAACCTTTAGACTCTAAGGTTGACCTCCATAATTTAAGTTTACATTCAACTCCCTCTCTAGTCTTATCAACAAGAAGAATATCATCAGCAAAAAGCATACACCAAGGTACATCCTCTTGCAAATGTCTAGTGAGAGCATCCATGACTAAAGCAAAAAGATATGGGTTTAAGGATGATCCTTGATGTAACTCAACCGAAATAGGGAAATACTTAGTCAATCCACCTTGTGTTTGAACACAAGTAATAGCTCTTGCATACATATCTTTAATGATTTGAATATAAGCATTATTGACTCCTTTCTTTTCAAGAACTCTCCATAGCACTTCTCTTGGAACTTTATCATATGCTTTTTCTAAATCAATAAATATCATATGTAGATCCTCCTTATTTTCTCTATATTTCTCCATTAAACCTCTTAATAAATGTATGGCTTCCATAGTCGACCTACCCGGCATGAATCCAAATTGATTTTAAGAAACATTAGTATCACGCCGCAACCTATGCTCCATAACTCGCTCCCATAGTTTTAAAGCATCACACCAATAGAATGCATAGTCAAATAATCCAAAATTAATGAAGGAAAAAAGGTGGATCCAACTATTTACAAAAGTTTTGTCAGAAGTTTACACTACTTGTATAATGTTAGATATTATGTATGTCATTGGAGTAGTTTAATCACCATATGAAGGCACTAATAAAAACTCATTTTAAGATTATAATGAGAATAATTCGGTTCATCAAAACTACAATATTCAACCATGACTTATTTTACTTATTTTCTAACAAATATGAGATTATTGGATATAACGATAGCAATTGGAGTAGAAGTTTAGATGATAAAAAAAGCACCACTGAGTTTGTGTTCTTCACATGGATATCAAAGAAGCATATCATCATTACACTCTCAACTTATGGAGTTGAGTATATCCCTTAAGAAACTTGTTGAAGAATTGTATTTTTGATAAGAGGAGCCCACTAAGTACCAATTGACAATAAATTAGTACTTGAATTAGCAAGTAATCATGTCTTACATAATACAAGCAAACAAACTGACACGCCTCATCACCACATAAGAGAACGCGTTGCAAGATAGGAAGTAGGATTGAAGTACCTGATGTCTCATTATCAAACAATGGTCATCTTCACCAAACCACTCACGAATAAAACTTTTATCAAGTTACAAAGCATTTTTAAAGTCAGAAGTATAGTTTAAGGGAGGGTGTGATAGGTAATTCAAATGTTAGATAATAAATATGAGAAATATGGGTATGGCAGGTTTTGTTTGTGAAGAATGAATGGTTAGGTTTGCTTAGGAAGGTGAATAACATATGATATGGATAAGCTCTACTTCCCTCAGCGCTTATATATCAAGTGAGAGCAAAGCTCCTAAAAGAGAATGAGAAAAAGGAAAAGAACAAAGCTTTCCAAGAGAATTTGTTGCTTTTATTTGTGAGTTTTATTTTGTAAAGAGCTGCAACTTTAAGTTCATAAAAGTTTGATTCTTTTTGTGATAAATTCAAAAAAAAAAAAAGAAGGTCATTACTAAGTACAAGACTCTAATCTCCCTCCTCTAGGTACTTTATTTGATAAAGATTGATGCATGCCAATTCTCATAAGAATAACTAACATTCATGCAGCATTCATGCATTCCATTTCTCAGGAGAATAACTAACATTCACCTATACCCTCCTAGACTTACAAAACCTCAGAATTGTGCTAAGTTACCTAATAAATTGTATGATATAAACAACAAGAACCAGCATTTAAAAAAAAAAAAAACAATAACAACAACAACTCCTCAATCAAGCATATCATCTAAAATCAAACAAAACAATTACCTTTATCCGAATCAAGTTCGACAATATCCAATTCCATTTCTAACTTGGTCACAATATCCTGAATATGATCC